TTAAACTCCGATAAATCATTCGGACATTTATTCCCCATTCATGTATAACGCTCCTGTTGTGGTAAAAAAAAACTTCCGCCTTACTTAAAGAACTATTAAACTATCGAAACTCCCCAAAGGCCTTGACTGGAAATTATGGCCTCCCCTATGCTAAGAGACGATCTATTGTCCGAGCGATTAGTAAATCGACAAAGATTTAATAGTGAAGTGCGCGTTCCGAGTGACTGATATCGATTATTCCACTTAATACATGTACTTATAACTTAACACTTTAACTTCGTTATACATACTATTATATGTCTATTTAAGTCTTTAAACGTCTAAGATGTCTATCTTTATTAATTATAGATAGCCTTCTTTGACTTACGCTCTAAGAGGTAAATAAAACTCACGATATTTAACTAATTAAACTATGTTTACTAGATACATAGTGCGACGAATAATGTCCATGTAATGATGTCTAATTGCTGTTTAATTTTTTTGTTTTATTATCAATCTCTCTTGTGTTTTTCTTATAGGCATTTTAATTATGAATTATAATAATTATTATTATGAAATTCCAAAAACCAGATAATATAATAAAAGCTAACTTATCAAATTACATCATTACAACAGAAATCGAATTTCTTTGCTCATCTGGAACCCGCTGAACAATAAAAATAATACTATATATAATATATTATGTACCTATACAGATAAGTCCTCGCGTATTCAACACAAGTCACACAATAGCGAATCAAAATCTTAAATCTTGATCGCGCACACAATTCAAATTTAATCACTTGTAATGGCCACTACAAACTTACTTACGAGCGACAATCGGATAAGCATCGGCTATCACACGCGATCGTCGTCCGAAATCGAATAACTCACTTAGCGGTACATAAATAGCGCTTAAATTGCGATAAAGGTCTAGTTTATCGATGAAGCGTCGCACAACACTAGCATTGGACGGCGGGCGAAATCGTTATTCAATTGGGCCTGCATCGCTAGGGCCATACCGGTGGCTACCAGCGTATACGTGGCTAGAATTGCGCACAGCTTTATATTTGACTGGTGTCTTCTAATCGCTGATACGTCGAACTCAATAAATAAATCATACTACATTTCAGGACTAGACTCTCCTACACAATTTATATCGATGGGTTGAAATAGTTAAAATATCTTTTTGAGAAGTTGGATAATTTGTAACTGTTTTCAATACGAGGAAAATATTTTAATCGAGTATTTGTTTCACCGCTGCATTACTACTGTTTACTATATAATGTTATAGGCAAGTGCAAAATAAGCAAGGTGACATTGAGTTACATTATCTTTCTTTGTTCCGATTCCCAGTTTTTACATGTCTTTTATGATTTAGATAATCTTGATAAAAATAATATTTTTTGTCAAAGAAGCCAACAATCTTAAATATATCATGTTTTATTTTTGTATTATATATTGAGTAGATGTAAGGAAAACTGTGTAAACATAACACTACTATTGTTTCAGACCACTACAGTAAATCAAATACCATAAAGTTTAATTTTCAGATTTATTTGCTCACTTTTAAGTCGACATGAATGGATTATTTTTACAAAGCACACAAATAAGTAAGGAGAACGTATTATGACATCAAGCAGAAAAAGATAAAATCTGATGAACATTGGTTAAAAAATTGGTCAGGGTTCGTATAATTTAGACATGGCTAACGTAATCTGGGCATTTGATCGACCGAACGCAGTTACTGAGAAGATTTGTGTTTATTTAAATATTGTAAATCAAACGGAAACATTTCCACGAATTCCACTAAACGTCTCGCAAATCTTTCGTTCGGTTCATTAGGCGCGTTAATTCGAGCCAAATTGTACCTTTGTCGTCGGTGATTGACAATTAAAAGATATTTGTGTAGATCGTAATCCTGTCTACGGATAGATAAACACCGGTCGATTTCTCTATCAGTGACAGCATTATGTTACTTTCCTAATTTGTTTATTAACTTGATGCAATTTCAAAATTTCCTCATCTCGTCCATATTGATCTATTCAATATCCCTTCTCTTCTCTTCTTCACAACCAGATACTTTTTTAATAATGGAATGAGAGAATAAAATATCAAGTTTTGTTAAGTTACGACGACCCGCTTGGTATAGTAGATAGTGAATATGTCTCATGCACCAGACAGTGTGGCTTCGATCCTCACTATGGGAAAAATATTGTGTGATGGACACATTGTTTTTGTTTTGCTTATATATCTATAACATGTATTCATTTTCACATAAAGTATGTTTGAGTGTGTTTATCAGTAACCTAGTATTCATAGTACAAGTTTTACTTAGTTCGGGACTAGATAACGTTGTATAAAATTTTCTGATTTATTTATTTATCACCGCTGCCAATATATACTAGCAAATCTGTAGAAATCGCAGAAGTGTTCGAGGAACGAGCGCTTCAATGTTATCCATTAATCAGTACGATTCAGGTTAAACCTTCCTCAATTCCTTTGCTGAATTGCAAAATGAGATCAATTCGTCATGCCGCCGTTACAGGCCCTTAGGGGCGGGCTCATTGTAATGCACGATCAGGCTATGTCTTGATCGCCCTTGAACAAAGTGTTCCAGTTTAGTCCTCTCTTACGATAGGCACTTGGGTGTCCCAGCCCTTTAATACGAACCCGAGACTACAAAGCGGGCATTTTTTTTTAATGAAAAGTTGCCAAACGAGCAGACGGTTCACCTGATGTTAAGTGAATACCGCCGCCCATGGACATCTGCTACACCCGAGGGTTTGCAGATGCGTTGACAACCTTTTTGGATATTGGGCTCCGGCTACCTCACTCACCAGACGAAACGCGAAAGTATTTGTCATACTTCCACTTTACGCCGGTCGTCTGTGAGGTCGTGGTACTTACCCGGACGAGCCTGCCTATTCGTGCAACAGCCGAGGCTGCTACGTTGCTCTACCACCGTTAAAATGGAATAACGACTTGGCTTCGTCTCTGAGCAAGATTGGTGGCAATGTCATTCTTGACCTTCTGAATCTTGCTAAGAAGATTCAAGTAGATTCCCACGCAGATCACTAAGCTCGAAAGGATGGCGACTTAATGCTCTGCTATCTTATATGTATTTTCTCGCTACATAAGAGGCCATTGATAAAAAGCAATTTACTTTATAGATAGACCAGTAGTGATTTACCATTCCTCTCTCTGTATCCTTTGAAATTGTTACGGGGTAATTTTAGAACTGTTTGCGATCATTCCGCCACGTATCGCGGACCTGACGTTGAGTAGCACCGATCCATCGATACGATGTCATAACTAGCGTTAAATGCCTTTGGTTTGCTGTCCGTGTTGGGAGGGACGTGTAGGAACGAATTCCAGTGTATCAACCCATTAATACTTGTTAAAATAATTGTATTTACCAAGCAATTATTTTTGATTTTTTACTTAGTTATTTCTTACAATCTCTCCATTCAATTTGGAAATGAAGACGTTGAAACGTATTACAAAGTTTTTCAGTTACTTATTTAGGATTAGATGTCTTGTAGACCGCAGCGTAATCCAGAAAAGAGGTGGAGAAATTACCCGCTATAAATTTTCTCTCACTTTACAACTTCCCATAAAATTATTAAAACTTTTGTAAGACATTTACATAACGAAATAATTAAACGGCTGTTGTGATCGCGCCCTGACTCAAGAACTCATTCCACTCGCCTCGGTGAAGAACCTCCGGTAGGTCCGAAACTAGTCCGTACTGTGGATGTGTTTTGTCATTATTTCGAAAAAATTCAGGTTTCCAGGTGTTCTGAGCACGTGATGAACCAGCACTTGAAATTAACAATTTCATTGGTGCTGGCACCGGAGTTTGAACTCGAGTCCCTCGGGTATAAATTAAAAGCGAGGGCCCGAACACTGAGCTAACGGCTCTCAATTAAACGGAAGCAGTCATAAAAATAATCTCGAACCCGTATCGAATTATAATTAGAATCGTTGCAGAAACATTCGGCAGAATTAAACGCTCCCCTCAATTAAATGTTGCCAATTTACATCCGCCGAGCGGCAAACTGATCTCAAAGAGTCTTGGGTTTGATATACGCGTTATTCGGTGGTAAATCATTCCGAAGCCGTTCTCTAAAATAGATCCGCGTCAAGGTCAGGAAATCCGCCACTCACATATCTATATCGCCAGCCCGTGCCCAGAATGAATTATGCGGATTTAACCGACACAAATCGCCCGCTAAATTTGGCCTTGGATTATTTAAAACGTAACGCGTTCGCATTACGTAATAAAATTATCGCCGCTTCGATTACCCAGCAACGTCTCTAACTGCCGAGCTCTTGCCGATAAAGTTGTACGGCTACGTAGGGCTAGTTGGGGAAAGTACAATAACTCACAGACGCTCATGGGCGGCGGGAATTACTTCATATATGAGCTACAATTGATATTAATATTCTTATGGTATACAAGCTGGCCTCGGCTTACGAGCAATAGCGATTTGAACTAAGCCTTCCGTTTTCGGGTTTCTTTCGAGTACCTCAAGGCATTGAGGGTAGCAACCCTCAACTCATATCTACAGAGGCAGGCTTTGTAGGTTCTACAGCTGGGTAAAAGCCTCCTCTCAGATCGGATACAGGATAGAGCAAGTGGAGCGTTTGCCCTAGGCGGCAGCTACCAAGGGGCGCTTAAAATCAAATGCAATAAACAATTTTTGATAACAGATTTCATTATTGAGCGACTAACTGAAATTAACACAAAAAATTTCAAGTAGCAGTAGAACATGTTAAAGAAGCACGGGTATAATAATTGATATAATTTAAATTCATTAAGTGTTGACATTTGCAATTAATTGATTTGAAAACATTGGTTAGTATTATTTAACATAAAGCCAAAGTATATGTACACAAAATGAAAGCACAAGACTAAAGGGTGCTGAAGGGTATTCTCGCTCTACCCTGATCAAAGGCTAGGGCCCGCACTATCTCCTCGCCTCTTGAAAGTGCTATCACTCGATATTATTGGGTCGATGTCGACAGCATTAGTCAGCCCTATATATCTGAGCAGGACTGCTCCTCTCCCGTTTCTTCCCGGCGAGGTAATTCTAGCCCTTCTGATCCTTGCTAAGAAGATTCAAGTACAGAAGACCAGCGTAAAGTGGAAGTATGACAAATACTTTCGCGTTTCGAGTGGTGAGTGAGGTAGCCGGAGCCCAATTTTCAAAAGGTTGTCAATTCATCTGTAACCCTCGGGCGTAGCAGATATCCATGGGCGGCGGTATTCACTTACCATCAGGTGAACCGTCTGCTCGTCTGGCAACTTTTCACATAAAAAAAACGTGGATTCCTCATTATTTTTGATTTTCTTCCTCTCAGTAAGCGAGATACGAAACTGCTTGCTTAGTTTCAATTATGTACTGATACAGCGACTACGTCCTGGCTATCATCCATACCAATATTATAAATGCGAATGTAAACGTAAGTAACATATTATAAATGCAAAAGTAAAGGACATACGCTATTTTTAATTGGAAAAAAGATATAGGGTTGAAAGATATTTATTTAAGGACTTCAACGCGAGCGAAGCCACGGGCGAAAAGCTATTATACGCATAAACGAAGGCGGATAGCCAGAATACCAGAGAAACCGCTCATATACAGTAGAAGACAAGAACGACGGCCAGCAGTGGAAGTAAGACTGATGCACAAGCCATCAAAATGTCGTTAATAGGTGAGACGCATAGTAACTCGTGTTAACGACGTTTCCACGTGTGGCCGCGAGCTGTTCCCGAATGCGCGCGAGTATTCCGTAAACCGTTCGATTAACGAGAAAGAATTCTGTCACGACACGATCCGAGAATTCGTCGCGACCGCGCGGAATGCTAATGGCGCCCGCTATCGCGTGGCCACGTCCCCGGACGATCTACGATCCGTGTTTACGTTTCGGAATCAGAATTGGGGCGCGGGAGGTATTCCCATCGGCGATAATTCCTTCGGCGATCGTAACATACAAGAGGTGGGAAAATCTCATTTGTTGGTATAGTCAAAAACACTTTGGGAAGAGGCAGTGCCGAATTAATGCCGAATGACTTTTCTTATGTCTAGAAGTTAGTGTAATTTATGCGTGGACCAAGCATTTTCAGCACACCAGCTATATAAACACTAAGAGAACAAAGGAAGCAACCTTAATCCAAATCTTATGGATTCGACGAAGAAATTGTAGGAGAATATAGACTGTTCCGCTAAACTTGCAAGTGGCTACAGCTAATTTTAATCGAATTTGTAGTATATATATATACACATTGACAAAAAGTTATAAATCAAATCGCTAAATAATTAAACAGCTAAAATCACCTACAGGTGACTCACCCCGGTTAAGGAGGTCCGATGTGCTCGAAAGTAGTCAGTACGTAGACGATGTGGACTTGAGTTTAGTTTAGTTAGTTCACGAATACGGAAAGTTTTAATTTCTTTAGTAAAGAAGAGTAAGAACCTATACATGTCTCACAGCTGAGCAAAGGTCTCCTCTGTACCTATGGTATTAGAGCATAGTCCACCTAGCGGCCCCCGGACTATTAACTATCACGGGTTACTTACTTTATTCAAGTTCCTAAGATCTTGGAATGAATGCTTTCCGATTCAATTGGACTTTTATTAGGGCGAAGCTTCGCAGCAGCGTCTTGTACGAGTGGAGTACTAATGATGATTACCGCTTTCAGAGTAAGACCGACTAAAAGTACGAGTACTGACGACCCGAATGGCGAGTAGATAGTGGAGCTGCCTCCTGCGCCAGAGGGTGTGGGTTCGATCCCCACTACTAGAAAAATATTATGTTTTGAACATAATGTCTTTCTTGTGTCTTGGTGTTTATATATCTATAATATGTATTTATTTACAAAATAAAATTATCGTTTAAGCATGCTTATAAGTTACCTAGTACCTATAGTACAAGCTTTGCTTAGTTTGAGACTAGATATATTCATACTATTGCGTTTCGTTTGATGATTGGAGTTACGGGGCGTTTGTTGGTTGAAGTTTGTGCCACTGCCACGAGGCGACGTTAATCACTTAACATCAAGTGACAGCTGATTTGCCGCGTTCCATAAAATCGACGGCGCTCGAGACAAGAGCTTATCCCCCTTCTCTTACTTAAATCAGAAGGGAGATAGCGCCCCAACAAAGAGGTGTTAAAACTCGCACTCCATTGTCTATGCGCAGATGTTATCTCACTCTGTCCGATTGTCATTCCGCTGGCGGCGCGTGCGTCCTCTGGAAAGATGTGTCTCGAATCAGGAACGCGCCTTCTCAGAAGTGTTGTTTTTATTCGACCAGAAAAAAAAAATTTCGACGCTGCCAGTATCTCGACGGTTTTCGTGCGGGGACGGAATTCCTAATCTGTGTAAACAAGATCGTAGGTGTCGACGATCGATTTGTCTATGCGCTGAACGCTAATTGGGGTTTTTTTTTTCTTATTTATTACCGTCGCGGGACCAAGGCGATGCTGGATTGTTCTATGGGGGGCATAGATTAATAGACAATTAATTGTCTCGGCGGTCGCGCTGGTGTACGATCAGTGAATATGCATGTTTTAGTTAGATTCTTGACCGATTGCAATTTAAACAATATGTTAGTTATTTTTAAAAAAGGAACAAATTCGACAAGTTGAAATATCTGTGGCGTTGCGATATCATGAGCGTAACAGCGAAAACGGCCAGTGCGCCGTTCGCCGTTTGAAAATATTGATGACGCCGTAACGAGTTTATTTTAGAAACCGCCGTTGGGAAACATTAAAAAGCGCGATGGTGCGCCCGGGTAGTATCGCAAAGTGCTCCCGGCAGCAGCCAGATCTGTTTCAAGTCCCGCACTCCCCGACAACTGGAAGGTCGGACTGAATAAACTTAGTTATGTGCCGTAACACGTGTTGTTACAATTTTCGCGAGTCATTGTTGCCATGGTTGAAAATCTCTCAGTTTCTAGCCGGCAAGCAAAGTTTATCAGTTACCTTGTATATAAATATTCAATGACATTTTTGCTGACGCTACAATGCTTGACAAAGTATATAGAAGAATGCAGGGTGTACCTCCTGGTGAAAATAGCATGGGTAGTCCGGAATCTAGTGGTAATACTTGTACTGTTCATGTTTTAGGCAGTATATATTTCTTCTCTGGAATTCACGGCCTAAAATGTTTGCAAAGTACCCATACTACCCGTACTACAATTCATGTACAAAAATAACGTCATCTTATTACATCTTAGTATTCGTGCTGCTTTAGTTTAACAATTATCGTATACTTTCTCTTGACTTACTTGACATTGAGTCAGTTTGATAATTTCTATAGATTTCCCTTATAAAAGCGTTACATATATAGTTGTATTAATTAAAAAAATGAAAAATGGACCCAGAGTGAAACGGTTTGATCAAATCCTCAACATATAATACTTCATTTGCCTCGTTATTTTCAACTAATTATTTTTTTTAATACACTGTCAAATACACAAAGATTTAATGCTATATTTGGATTTGAATATAGGTAGTAATAAATATATGTATAATGTGTTTTTGAACAACAAATTCCGAAAAATTTTCGAAAATTTCAGAATCACGACCATTTCGTTCGTAAGTAAGGGAGTACGCATTCACACGTAGGGCCATTAACAGTCCGGGAACATCCGAAACCGTGCTAAAAGCAGGGCATTGTGTTATGCCCATACAATGCGGTGATAAAATATGTCACTCAAAACTTGCATATTTCATGGCGTACGCCGTCGCGCGAACGTGTCTCATTTTTTAATCTGCGACAAATTAGTCTATTATTGTTCGCGCTGTGACAGTTTTTTATTGATCGAACGCAGGTGATAAGTTGCCGGCAACAAATTGCAGAGGCTAAAACCTTTTTTTTTAGCTAACGTGATACCTTCGTTGAGACATCGTATTGTTTTATGAAAATATATATCGTAATTGTATTAACCGTGACCATAGTCGATAAATGTCCCTTTATTAATGTCGACATGTATAACATGTAAGTGTTGTATCCTTACTATTTAATAAACGCGAAAGTTTATATGTATGGATGGATGTTTGTTTCTCTTTCACACAAATACTACTGAATGGATTTTAATGAAACTTTACAATAATATAGCTTACATTCTTATACATCAGAATAACACGTACGCTACAATTTATATGCCTATTTTTATGTAAATCTGTCTTTCTGTCTGAATGTTACGCCTTCAGCCTATTCTACGCAAACGTAGTCACGGGCAGCAGTTACGTTTATGGTGTTCATTTTGTCTCTGCTTTCTCATTTTTTACCCCAAACTGGTTCCAAGTAACTCCAAAAAAAGTCTTCAGACTAAAGTATCAAGTCGTTTGCGAGACACTTGTGGATCACCGGCAATCGCGTTCTATCGGGACCCTGCCATGCAACGTAATGATTAATTGAACTTCTCCTCAATCACGCAGCCCCTTAAGCCAGCGACGCGAGCCAGTTAACCAATCTAGCGCATTGCCTGGCCCAAATACAAGGCCCCTATTGTTCCGATACAATGTTTACTTATGATTTTCGTGTGACCCAATTTACAAGAGCATCCGACCAGTCTGCACAATATAAAACTGTTGGCAGCGATGAACTTTATAAAGTTTACGGCGATCTTTTAGTAGCGGTATCGCTTTATAATAACCTCACAGTAATTTAGTGATCTCATTCACCCACCTCTGGTTTTTATCATGATGTTTCGTTACATCTATATATCGATGGTCGAACTCTAGATAAAATTAAAGTAAAGTAACAGCCTATACATGTCCCACTGCTGGGCAAAGGCCTCCTCTATACAGAGGGTATCAGGGCATAGTCCATCACGTGGCCCCACTGCGGATTGGCGGTCTTCACATATCTTTGAAATATATTTTTTTTGTTATTATTTCGAACTCTAGATATATACTTATATTTCATTGAAATGCAACACAGTAATTAACTAATGAGTGTTTGCTTTATACCTTACTTGTCACAAGATAATACCGAGATCTGAATAACAGGTTTGAATACCGATTGCAACATCATTGACAAACATCAACAAGGTTTGTTGATGTTTGTCAGGTCCGTAACTTTGAATTTGTGATCTTTATCTCTGCCCACCAAATCAGGGATTCAATCCCTGTCAAAAGTCGGCTCGATATTACAAGCTTTGCTTACTTTGGGATTGTTGACGGTTCTAGTTCTATATTACATGCTTTGCTTAGCTTGGGACTAGATAACGTTGTGTGAAAATGTATCCTCATTTGATTATTGACAAGTAGGATATACAGATATATCTTATATCATCTTATATATAATTTCGCAGCAAAAAAAAATGTTATAATAGCTCGGTCGGTAATCGGGCGGTAAACAGTAGCGTCTCATGCCTATATGGTCGGAAAAGCCATTCTTGAAGGTCCCAAGTCGTTTCGTTTCGGAAATCACGCTGACGACCGAGCGTGGCATATATTTTTATTATATTAGCGCTTAAATTATGAGAGAAACGCAGGCAGTGTTAGTATCGCGTTGTTCTATATGAGCGCAGTGAATGGCGGGCCATTTCCGCGAAACGAATGGAGTTTCCAAAACGTAAGCAAACAACGCCTTTACCTCCCTCCGCTCCGCAATTTTCGTTTCTAATTCGGGTGCTGACCGAACGGACGCTTCTGTCGATGTCGGGACACGATTCGCGGAAAAACGTTAAGTGCTATTGTTTTTCTTTATACTCTCAATATTTTGAATTCGATCTTCGCATTCTGTTGCTCCGATTGCGTGTTGTTGCGTCTCACTTCTCTTCATAACGATGTTTTTACGATCAGAATCGGCATTATGCAGTTATGGAAATAAATGTTGTGATTCTTAAGAATTTACCTAAAATTAATTGATACAAATATTATACAGTCGTCGTTTAAATAATACTATGAATATATACATTACTTATATTATCAAAGTGACAGCTAAAATAATTTAAAAATAAAGAATTAGACGTACACTTTGTTGCTTTGATACCTTTTAAAAACGCTTATTGTGAAAGCCCGCTAATTGGAGGCCCCGTTAAGACTACTTCTGGTCAACGGTAATTGCGATAACAACGCTATCGATATTGTTAAATGGGGTAAGCAGAGTTCGTTGTCGTACAGAATGTTAAAAATAACTTTCTAGTTTGATCAGTGGCATGTTTACAGCAAAAAGAGAAGAAGAAATAATAGACGACGAGAATTGTCTTAAATTAAACTCAAGTTTGCTTCTTGGTAGAGCCAAAAATGGGTTCCAGCTCTTGTATGAATTTGTTCGTTTTGTGTTTTCCGCGGTGAGTGAAGTTATTACTGCAATTGTCCTAAAGGTAAAGCTAACAACTTGTTTAGGCTACGCTAAAGATTGTTGTACACGGAATCCCCGATGCCCGTACCCGCACCTACCCGACTGTTAGGGCAATGTGTGGACAACCCGTGCGTGTCTGTGTGTTTTACACGAATGGGCGGGTTGGTCCGGGGATTACCAAAGTCTCAATGAAGATGGCGTGAAGTGGAATTATGACGTAATACGTTCCGTTTTTTCTGGCGGTTACTAAGTCCTCTCTTTCGATGGGTGACAAATCATTAACATCATTCGATGACATGTTATGTTCTCACATCAAACCTACAACCTTAGGGGTTTTGTGGTTAGTGGAGGCAAAGGGAGCATTTATAATTCAGGTAATAAAGCGAAAGGCACCG